ATCGATGTGTACATGGACAAAGTCGAGGGAGTGCGCAATGCCCAGTTTGCAATTTTCTGCTGTTTTTTTTAAATGAAAATAAGATTGGATGGATTATTCAATTATGGCAAAGCACACAAGGGCTATCTGCCTAAAGGGAGTGATGCCTTCGTGGAGGACCTTCTAAGAGAAACTGGCTCGTATACAAAACACATGGGGAAAACCACGAAAACGGCCATGCAGCCAGCCTGTTTGCGGGATTCGAACCTCGGACCGAACTACTAGTGTTCAGCGTCTTTGCCATTCGGCCGTTAGTGGGCTCTTAAATTAAAATAGATTAATGTGTACATGGACAAGGGACACCCTAAAAAATATTTTTACTGCAGATTTACCTAATTTGTAACAAAATTTTATGTTGTAATGTTTTTCCATCTCAAAGCCTTTTTTTTTTTTTTTTTTTTTTTTGGTACAGTGTCTTTTCAGTAAATGAAAAATGATGTTTTGATACGCAAAGTAACTAATTTAAAATTTCTTCAGCAAGAGTTAAGATGTCATACTTTCTAAACATAAATTTATTCCTTCAATTTTCTTCTTTCACTATTGTTTGGTCTTTTAATTTGTCTAGTTACTTAATGGATGCACCTGGTAGCTTTAGTTCAGTCATACTTAGAGCTTAAATTGTGCTGGAGCCCACTGGAGACCGGCTCCAGTGCTTCTTAGTTTTGGGAATAAATCGTAATTCTATCCGGAGTTCACCGGAGCCCTTAATCGGAAGGCTCCGACGCTTCTTTTATGTAACTGAACAACAATTTAAGTAGAAATTTGATCTCGAAAATTTTATTTTTTGCAATAAAATTATATTACAAATCACTTATTAAATTTTAATTTATCTCTCTTTACATTTTATTTAATTTTAATTATTTAATTACTTTAATTTTAAATTATTTAAATATTTAACAATGATAACTAATTTTTATTTAATTAAATAATAATCAGTAATTAAATAATAATTGACTAATATTATTTATTAAAATTAATTAAATAATATAATTAATTTCGTAATAATTAACTATTTAATTATAAAATTTTTAATGAATTTAATAGTTATTTTATTTATTTCTTTACTTTTGTTCCTCTTTGCTGACGGTCTTCCATAGGGCTCCGTCACTTCTAATTTTAGAAATTAAGCCCTGGTCATACTGGAATTAAAGTTGATGTTAAGAATATTTTACTGTTGCCAATTGCAATTGCTAGTAGTAAAAGAAACTTAATAAATTTAAAATACTAATGAAGTAGAATCTGAAAAGAGTATTGATAATGAGTAAAAATTATAAAAAGAATAAATTAAGTCCAATACTTTTTTACATTAATTACATTACTATTCATGCTATTCAGTGTTATTTTCTTTTCACAAAAATATATTTTTTTACACTAACTGTAAATAATTTTATTTAAAAACTGTAAATCATTGTATCTTTTTTTACATATAAAGTAATTATTAAAAATATTATAAAAGTATTCTCATATGAGAAAATATGTATTTGTAATTTTAATTATTTTCTATCTGTATGAAAAGAATATACCTGTATTGAAAGAAATTGATAGGTACATTTGATAAATTATTGCATTGTGTTACTTCAGTAAAAGACTGGTGATTTAGATTTAAAAAAAAAAAAAATTCTAAAATATTAACAACCTTCATGTTTTAAGAAAGTATTTGCATTCATCTCAGAGCTTCTTTTTAAATCTAGAGTCAGAGAATACAAATATGCTATAATAAAGAATTATAAATGTTAGGTATATCTTATCATGGCAGGAGAAATTCTAAGCATTTATTTATAAATGCATTCCAATGTTTAATAACTTCCTTTTGCATTTTTCACAAAATTTTTTTTTTTTAAACTGAGATGTCTTATTTAAGCAATTAATATCAAAATTTTCAACTATGTTTCTCTTTCTCTGCACATTTCTATATCCAGGATGCAAGCTACTTGTATTATTTCTAAATGCAGTATTTTAAATGTGTTTTTAAATGTACACAGTAACGATTTTTTATTTTCTTGTAGACAACTCTTTCTTATATTGGATCAAAAATGAAAGTATTGCATAATATCTTTTACTAACCAATGTTTAGAAGGAGCTTAAACTAATGTTGACCAGTGTTTAGAAGGAGCTAAGCTCGTATTTGTCATTTGACCTAAAAGCATTGCAACCTTATTTTTTAACATTGCAAATTGCTACCATTTCTTAAAAGTCACAGTGTATCCTCTTTTATTCATTCACTTGAATATAATATTCTCATAATCAATGCATATTTCCTACTCATATATGGTCAGTGTTCTATTTTTCATAAGAATGAATCCAGAAAGCAGTCAAGCATTTTGTATGGGATGTTTTCATGAAATATTCAGCAACTCCATGTCCTTTAACTCGTTAACGCCCAAATTATTTTAAAATGAGAATTTTTGAAAAATATTTTAAAATTACATTTCATATATAATAAATAAAGTAATTATGAAGTTTTATTCAATTACCATAATTAGCAGTTCAGATAATAGGTGATTTATAAATAGATCACTGGGCGCTTCGGGTAATAAAAAAACAAGTAACTGCCGTCTGATCTTATGTCTGAAAAATTACGAAATTAGTTAAAAAATATGAATTTTTTGCAAAATTAAAACCATTTAAAAGCAAAATATCTCATTTTACTGATCTAAACTTCCTTAGTTATACTTTTATTGAGCAAATTTGCAATATTTAAGTGTGATATAGTGGAAAACATTTTATACAAAGTGTTACATCGCATTTTGTACGAAACATAATGGGACTTCCCTTACATTTTTTAAACTGGCATCGCCTTTGACCTTAACATGGTCTTTTCTATCTAAACGTACAAAGCCTATTATTTTGGTCTCGATGACATCGCCAAATGTTTTCCAATGCTTTTCTTTGTATTTGTTCCCAGTTTGAGGTACACAACCCGCGATATGGCTTCGGATGTCTTTTATACTTCACCACTTGTGTTTCAAACGATTCATTAGAAGTTTCAGGAGTATTCTTAAAATTCTCTACACCACAGTATAAGTCAAAATTATAACAATAGCCCTTTACTCCACACATGGCCCATGATTTATAACAAAACCATATAAGTTTGCCGTTAAGAAACTGTCATCAACAGATAGAAATTTATTGAAAATTCCAGATTTTTTAAAACTGCAATTTATATGCATGATTAATTTTCCTATTTTGAATGCCCGGTCTGATTTTTGCATAATTATTGTTGGCAAAATAAGTTACAGATTTAATTTCTAAATATTTATTTAGAGTTTACTATTGGTACCATGAGATCTTCCTTTGACCAGCAATCACGTTCACTATGTAAAGTATGGTAGCCAGAGAAAATCAAAAAACCAATAAAACTCAAATCGTCAATTGTAACTGAAAACTCTGGCTTAGTTTTCCACACTTTCGCATACCTTTCTGTTTCATTTAATCATTAATTTGATAATTTTGATAAACTCATTTTTGTTTTAATTTTTATTACTGGCGCTAGATGTAGATGGCAGTTACTCCAAAACGTTAGATCCCAAATCATTTGTGTTTTTACCGATGGAGTGATCATTTCACCATTGTCAAAGCACTCTTTGTCAGTCACTTTGGCCACCTCAGGCTGTAAAGAAATTATATCTGACTCAGTCTCCTTATAAAATATGTATTCTAATGTTTCTTTGGCAGTGTGAAACACTTTACGCCTAGACATTTTGAAAAACATGAAAAGGGAAAAAATCGGTATAAGGTACCACTAACGCCCAGTGATCCGTTTATAGATCAGCATGTTTAAGCTAAAAATTTAATTATAAGAACAGTTGTTTTTCTAATCTAAATAACGCATAACAATTAAAGAGGTACTGAAAATGTAGAACACATAAGAAAAGTATATCTTACTTTTAATTTTTTTTTCTTTTGGATACAAAATCGAAAGCTATGCTATGAAGCATCACTTGGCTAACTTCAGACATTATCTGCTGGACTGTTTTGGAAAAGAGTGTTTCAAAACGCCTTTGGGGGTATGGCCACAAGTGTAAGGAAAATCAGCCAGTGATAAAAAGAAGTGATTAAAATATATTTTTCTCAATGGTCATTCTAAAAGTAGGTGATCTATAAATAGATCACTGGGTGGTAAGGGGGTGAAATAGTGATTTCTGAAAGTAGGAATATTTCTTCCTATATGGCAAAAATGATTTTAAGTTCCTCACTACTTTTTTGCTAATTCTTTTTTTTTTTTTTTTTTTTTTTTTTTTTTTTTTTCAATAGAACTCACAATTTTCTAAGTTTTCCAAGTTAACTCTTTGCTTACGTTTTTCCTGTATTGAAGTATAATTAGACAAATGTTTTACTTTTTTACAAGTATCCTCTCACGTATTGCAGAGGAGATCTATTTCTGTTGTCATTTATGTTTGCATCTGTTAGAAAAAATGCTTTTTACCTTTGATTTTCTTTCATTTTTATGAAGATTTTTGATGATAAAAAAAATTGCTTCTATAAACTTTTGATACTGTGTCGGAAGAACAGCTGAATTTATTATTCTAAAAATTCTAAACATAAAGGTTTGCAAACTGAATCCTTAAGTATTCTTCATTTTAAATTTTACGTACTGCATTTATAATTTTAGAAAATTTAATATAATTTGACCTTCAAAGCTAAGATTAAAAGCTTCTGAGCTTCAAAGCTCAGAAGGTAAAAAGATTTGAAATTAGAGACCAATTAGTTTATTATGGAAGTTCTAGTGTTAATATATTAAACATTGTAACAATTATTTTGGATTATTGCATTTTAACTAAAACCTATAGCATGTTTCTACTAATGCATATATTAGAAAACTTGAGAAGAGTCCCAAAATTGAAATTGTAAAATTTTCTTAGTCAAATAAGTCAGCTTTTACAGTTTGCTTAAGAGTTAATTCATCAGTATAGTTTGTTAAACTTTTCATGTATTTAATTATATAAAAAAATTATTTTCAGGGGACTTGCATTCTGTAGAAACATATCTGAAGGCAAAACTTCCACCAGTTAGTATCTGACTTTATTATAATTTTAAATATAAACTATTAAATACATATGCTAATGCAAAAATATTCTTTTACAAATTTAGGGTAACACTGTCAATTTTGGAACTTGGCAGTCTGCTATATATGGTCTAGCACATTCAGATGAATTGAAACCACTCAGGAAAGAGCTGAAAGAAAAGATTTTTACCAAAGGATTACGAAAGCCAGATTATCATTTAAAGAAAAGGCAGATATTATTTTATGATTTCTAGAGTAATAATTTCTATTTTTGATTCACTTTAAATACAGTAATCCCTTCCTGAATGTGCGAGCTATGCTAATAACTCATTGCATGTATCGCAAAATCACATTCTGTGAAGTTAATTTTCTATGAGAAAAAAAAAAAAAAAAAAAAAACTTAGGTATAGAAAGTATGTATAATTAAAAAAAAAAACTTAAATATTGTTGTAATTGGATTTCTATAACTGCTTAGTAAATATGATGTGTATTAGTGTATAATCTTACAAATATTTTTTTAAGTATCTGGTGATTTTTGCTTTCAACAGAGGTCTGATGCAACTCATTCAATGTCTTCGGTAAGGAGTGCAAAGTATTCTCTTTTTTCATTATTTCGGTCAATCCCCATTACAAAATCAGACAATTCCAGTGCCTCCTCACTATCATTGCTTTCATTGTCTCCTGATGATATAAGGTCATCTACATCTTTTGTCATTTCACTATCGTCATTCTCAACTAATTCTTTGATTTTTGCTTCTGAAAATCATTCACTGCCTTCTGGTTTTGTAATCTGTGTAATTTTTTTGGCTTCAGTTTCAGTCAATAGAAATCCTGTAAAACTGCTCACAACTTCTAGCCAGAGCTGTTGCCAACAAGCATTCATTGTTGATGAATTCTTTTGTCCCCATGCAACTTATGTGTAATGCGTTTGGTTTCTGGTTGTAAGTTATAATCCAGACAATAACTTATCGTGTCTGCAAGTACTACAATCTGTAATGTATGAGAACTTTGTAAATCGACTACAGTTTCACAAATTCACGAAAAAATGCTGTAAATCTAATCTTCAATTACTCATTCTGCAGCAAGTTTTTTTTCTTGATTAATAAATAATTTTTATTTAATGAATTGCGTAATCATTTATGTGTAGTCTTATATTCATCTACTTTCAAAATGCTTGTCTTCATGTAGTGTTTTATTTGCAGAAATGTAAGTCTAATAGATTTTTGAATATTTATACGATTTATTGATCCATTGGTGAGATTAAGGAAGTAGTTTTTGATGGAAGGAATAAAACCATCACATTTAGATGCAGTGTTATGAGTGCTTCAGCATTGTGTTCTGGAGCATTTTTTAGAATTAGGAGAATTTCAAAGTTCAGATTTTTATCCTCTAAGCAATGACTGACTTCTTTAATGGATGAATTTTTAAAGCAGTTATTAAAGAGGGCTGTAACAATTTGGCCGACACTCTACAGCATTCTGCATATAATTGAAATTCTCATGTTGGATAAATTAAATGGAGACAGTTAGGGAAGCCCATATACACAAAATTGCATTCTGCAAGTCCACATTTGACAAGGGTTTACTGGATATTTTGGCCTTGCTTTTAACCAAGTTTGCTAGGGTGGCACTTTTAAGCCAAACCTAAAGATTGAGTTCTTTCCCTATCAATTAAGTTGGCCTCCCAAAATTCATTTCCATTTTGGGCTTTTTTTTTTTTTTTTTTTTTACTTTTATATAAACTAAAATTACTAATATAAAAGTTATGTAAAATTCATTTTATAATCTTTCCTCAAAATGTTGTTTTATTGTTGGTTGCATGGGGGAAAAAAATATTTTTAAAATGCAGCCCTTTAAAGTTTGTAACTTTCTTTTTACCAAAGATTTTTGTCTTTGTTACAATAGTTTGATAGCTAACATAAAATTGGGAATTTTAGTTTGTAATTAATATTAAGTCATTTGAATGCGACTCATAACTGTACTTGTCCTAATATTCTTAAAATTCCATAAAAATGCCCTAAATTGTCATAATTTTCAGTAATTATGTCTAAAATTTCCAAACCGTTTCTAGTGGTCCTTTCACGATTCTATCTTTTATTTCTAAAAATGAGGTAATTCATGTTCTCACAAATGCCTTTTAATTGACTTCCACTCAAAACTTCTGTCATTTGGTTAGTATTACTATTAGCCTGCTACAACAAAAGAACTTTATGTAAACAATGAAAGCAAACAACTTAGCCTGCTAGAACAAAAGAACTTTATGTAAACAATGAAAGCAAACAACTTTGGTATTTCTTACCAGTGTGAGTGCTTACATTTAAAAAAGCAGCCTTGGCACTGTGCACATTAAACTTTATATATATATATATATTATATGATTGTGATTTTTTATTTTTTGAAGGTTGCTATAGTGTTTTTTAGTTTTTGCCAAATTAGTTGTAAATACTTCCAGATTTCACCAAAGCACTTGTAGTGGCTGATTTAAAAAGGAAGTAACCACAAATATTTTTAGAAATGTTAAATGAAATCCGCAGTTTACACCTCTTCTGTAATCTGAGATTAATTTGGTAAAATCTATTTTTGTATTTATTTTGTATTTAATAAATGTTATTCTTTTCATGATGCTTTATTTATCATTAGGGTTGTCACTAGTCTAGTTAGATTTCATGCCAATGTTTATGTTTGGTACTAAGTGGCACTCTGCTAACAGAAAAGTACCCTAAATTTTTGTGTTTTTACTATTCATATTTTATTGTGAAATTGTATGCAATTTTTTTAATTCAAGTTATGTTCAAATGCTTTTTCAACTGATTATTTTAAAACTTAATGTCCATATACATTTTTCCTTTATGCTTATTATTTATTTTATAATTTTGTGTAGTAGCATTCATTGCAATAAAAGAGTTATGAGATTATCAAAAAATAGTTCCATATTTTGCCACAGAGAGATAAGATATGCTAATAAGATAGATATTTGAAAGAGATAAGATAAGATATTTGAAAAGATAAGATATTTGAAGACTATTGATATTTGATATTTGATAAAGATAAGATATTTGAAAAGCATTTTAAGATATGCTTTTCAAAATAGCATTTTTATGACAAGGTATAATATTCAAAATAAGATTTATACAATGTTTATTTTAAAGATTTTTTTATGAAATCTGAATATTTGTATCAATTTTAATGTAATGAAATTTATTTATTTTAGACCTCTTCTGTTCAAAAGCAAAGAAGCTAAAGGCTGGTGCATTCCATTTATAGGTAGTGATAGATCTGTTGTATTAAGAACACAGATGTACAATTATCAATTTAAGAATGAAAGACCAGTGAGTAAATATTTGTTGCATTCTTTAGCAAAAACCTTAAACGTTTACTTATTCCGAACAAAGATTTAACATATGAGTAAAAATAGGTTATAAGCTTCAAATTAAGAAGGTTTTTGAAATTAAATTATGAATTATATTAACCTTATTCTTTTTATACCTTTTAAAATTCAATGAATTAAGTCTCATTAAATATAACAATCAAATGGTTTTTCAGAGTTGCTGACAGTGTTTGTATGTACTTGGCTTAAAAGTAAAAAAACTGATAATTCACCTTTTAGTTCAATGTGATTGAACTTAAAGTTTAGGAATATGTCGCAGAGAATAGGGGGAAAAAAAAAAAAAAAAAAAAAAAAAACAAGAAATTATTTTTTGTGTAAAACTAGTAAAAATAAAAACCTTTTTTGGAGGGGGATGGAAAACTATGATAGTAAATTAAATTATACAGACTTTCATATTTGCTCTTATTTATAAGACTATAAGTTCATTCTTGTGTAGAAAAAAGTATTTTTCCTTTTCCATTCTCTAGTTAAATAATGAAAAAAATATAAAATTAAAATTATCATGGTAGAATTTCTTTGATTGAAACTATAATTTATTTATTTGAGATAAAATATGGCGTATACATTTTATTGTAAAGTACATTGTACTTGCTCATTTCAGTAAGTGAAATAATATAAAATGTAAACAGAATTTTTAAAATTAAGTCATTTGAAGTGTTCTTTCAGCATTTCTAAGGAATAAAATAATTATTGTATTTCAGAAAATATTCTTAAATAAAGTTGTATGTTAGGAATTCCTCTTTGACAGAAATAATGATTATAAATATGAGTTAAATATTTAATTATAGTAATTAACATGCAGTGCAGTCAATGGAAATGCCTTTTCTTGATCTATAAGTTGATGTGTATCACACAGTCTGATATATATAATACACTGAGTGTTTTTTTCCTCCTTAGGTTCAAGTTCAAACATATATGAAAACTTATTCCCTGTTTTATGCTTTGGTGACATTACTAATGGGTGGAATTTTTATGCTGATGACGAAATTTGTAATGGGTCGTTATTTACTGGAAAGGGTTTGTACTTCTTATGTGTAGATATTTTCAGCCTAAAAACTGAAATGAACAGTTTTTGCGAATTATTTAATATTATATAAAAGTAATGCAAATAATATATGAATTTTTTAGCTTTAAATTGTAAGTAAGCTTTTCATTAATTTAGAAAATATCTAGATTTTCTGTTTTACATTTAATATCATTAAAATAATGTCTTAAAAATTGTTTTTCCTAAATAGTAAATTTGAATATTCCACTTAACCTTCCCTTCCCCTTAATGTGGTCTAGGAAACTAGAAATTTGTTAAAACAATTGCAGCATTGCATACAAACTTGTGGAAAATAAAATTTTTGAATAATCCACTTTTTCGATTATATTAATGTGATTTAAGTATCCAAGACTTGTCACATATTTCTAAAACTAAAAGAATCACTTTCTGTTGATATCAAATCTATAATTTTAAGCAGTAATAAATGATGTCAGCAATTACATATTTCATAATACAGCTCTCTCTTGATGGAATTATTGGCAGGAGATATTAAGCCATGTAAGCAAAAAATATGTCATTTACTGCATTAGCATAGTCCTGTTCAGTAATACTGTATATCTGACGTGATTCAGAATGAAATGAGAGGTGTCAAAATAACTAATAATTTTTGCTGCATCTGTAGTAATTATCAGTTATTTATCAAAGGCAGAAAATAACATCTTTTGGGAAATACATATATGCTGGTTTCACAGAATGAGTATTTCATTATTTTATAGGCTTTATTTTGTGAGGGAGAGGTAAATAAACGAGTGTGAAAAGAATCGTCAGGCATGTAGTAGGCAAAGCATCAGATACTATACTCTCTACTGGGCAAGACAGTGTTGTTAATGCCCAAATATGAGCGTGAGAAATTTAGGAGAAACCTGTGTAAGTAGCTATTTTTATGTGGTAATGTGAATTGGAGTCTTTTTAGCTTTGCTGTTATTTCAACTTACTGTTCTTCTTTGGTTGTGGACATCCAGAAGCTGCATTAATTTGAAATAAATTTATTACTAGTTACAAGGTACTGCATACAAGGTACTTACAGTTTTACCAGGAGACTCCCAGTCTTAATCACATCTCCTGCTAGATCACCAAATCTCCCATTTTTTTACTAAGGAAAATGTTTCCTAGTAATACATGAAATCGGTTGAATTCAGGGGGTACACTGCTCAAAAAAAAAAAAAAAAAAATTGGGACAGACCTATATCTCCCGATCTACTGGGCCGATTGACAAAATTCAAACTTTCTCGAAAGTTTCATATCTCGAAAGCGCGACTTAAGATATATATTAGATTTATATATAGCACTATTCTAACATAGGTATTTTGACACAAAATCGGACTTTTCCTGAAATAACATACCAATTTTTGTACATATTTCGATTCTACGACTCAAATTACGCCGAAATATGAAATTTTGTAAAATTTGGAGCAAAATTTACGGAGAAATTCACAAATTTATGTTGGCACTATTTTGTCAGTTTGCACCAAGAATAGTTCACTTGGCGAACTTCTTAATATATGGCAACCTAGTTTCCTTTCCCGTGAGAGGAAAAAAAGTCACCATCGTTCCTTTTTTCCAAATAATATTCTTTATATTGTATTTTTAATTATAACTTATTATTTTAAGTAATTTTTTTCTTTTTCGAATTTCATTTTAATTGTTTAAGTTGCATGGTTTTTTTCGAATAACTGTTTTAAAAATTTCTATTTACCTATTCGAACTGCGTAAATAAAGGTGCAGCGTTTATTTTTTTTTTCAAATAGTTTTCTTTATATATATATTTTTTGTCATAGTTATTATTTTAGGTAATTTTAAAATTTTATACTTTTATTTTAATTGTTTGTGTTGCATTGTCTCTTCAGATAATTGTTTTAAAATTTTCTATTTATTCCTTCGAACTGAGCATTTTAAATAAATTTTCCATAATTTGATTTTATTTATTTGAATTGCGTTTCTTTCGGAGGAATACTTTGTAACCCAGATTACGATGCGTTTGAAAACTGCATACATTAAAAGAGCAAATACAGTAAAGCATAGTTAACATGCCTTTCAATGTTCTGTTCAGAAAAGATATATATAAATAAGAGAGATGAATAACCGACATTTTAACTTAGGATGACTTGCATACACTGCTTTAAACAGTTTTATCATTGTGCCCATTGCTTTACACAATTTTATCCTACATTTGGTTTCTTAAATGTTATTCATATTTTAGTCAAATATTTTATTTTTGAAATCGTAAGAATCAAATATCATAAGATTAAAAAGTTTTAAATTAAAAAAAAATACAAATACTAAATTTTACCCAAAAATTTATTTTTTCTTCTCTTTTTCTCCAGGCATTCTACTTTATTCTTGCTCTTTTTAGGCATTCCGCAAGTATATTAAAAAGCATCCAACTTTTCGAAATATCTTGATATTTCTGACAATCATTTTAAGTAAAGTTATCGCCTTCCATTTCATAAAGGCTCGCAAACGGCCGAGCGGTAAAGTCGCTGAACACTGGTAGTTTCACTCCGGGGTTCGAATCCCGGTAAACGGGCTGTTGCAAGGGTGTTTTCGTGGATTTTCTCATGTGTACTGTGTATGCCAGCTGGTTTTCCTTTGAAAGTTCTTCACAAAGGCATCCTTCCTTTTAGGCAGATAGCCCTGCTTTGACGTAACTTAATAATCCAATTCAATCCACTTCATCAATATTTGGTCAGAGCCTTTAGCAGTCTTTAGAGGCTAAACATTTTGAAGGTATGAGATGAAAGAAAAGACTGGTTTCATCAAGAGGTTTTGGTTTATTTAATTATGACAAAGCACACTAGGGCTATCTGCCTAAGGGGAGGGATGCCTTTGTGGAGGACTTTCTAAGGAAAACTGTCTCGCATACACGTTACACATGGGGAAAACCACGAAAACGCCCATGCAGCCAGCCCGTTCGCGGGATTTGAACCTCGAACTGAACTACCAGAGTTCAGCAACTTTACCGCTCGGCCGCTGTTTCATCAGGAGGGAAAAAAACACCTTTAGGTGACATTCACATACAATACTGGATAAACTCCTGAATCTTCAAATAATTCGACTGAGAAAATCATGGGATTCTCCATTTCTGGTACGATATGATGTTCTATAATGTAATTTAAATTTATACAACCATATAGTCTAAAACCAGTCGCCCTTCACTTTAATCTGCAATGATATCGTTTTTGTCTTTTCTGATAACACAAGCTCAATTGATGGTATTTGCTGGTGTACACGCCCAAGTGTTTTCTCTTTGAACGCCTAAATTCTTTGAAGTAACCTGAAAGTATATTCAAAAGCGTCCAACTTTTTGAAACATCTTGGTATGTCTAAGAGCCAAATTTTCCCTGCAAATTTTTTGCTTGCTTTTTTCTCCCCAATTTTCTTCTCTTTCCTTCTACAGTTATTTTAAGTGCTCACACAAGAAATTAAGATTTTTCGATTTGCTAGATTTTTTCATAAATTTTGCATTCTTGTCATTTTTTTAAAATATCAATTGCATCAACTGTGTTTCAGCTGAAGACAGCTTTTCATTTTCTAGACATTTAACTATAAACAAAGTATAGATCAAGGTCCAAAGGATAAATATTTTAATTAAAAGATTTTTTGCTAAATGACAAAGAAATAAAACAGTCCAGCAGTGTTTATTCTTCACCACCGAGTAACCCGATTCTTATATCGGCTGAAACAATCTAAATCATATTAAAGATCATGTTTTTTATACAATCTATAACGCGAGGAAAAATTAGCTTCTTAAAACACTTTTTCTAAGAAGATTAATATAAAAGATTATATTTATTTATATATATATATTTTTAAAGCTGGGACTTGAACCAAACTGTCAAACTTTAAAGTTTAATTTACATGGTGGTTATAATTAAAGTTCCAATTTGAAATGGTCATAAAAGGAAAACTACCGGACCAAATGTTATCAAACTTGGGAATTGTATAAAGGAGGTTATGGGAATTTATTTTCCGCGGAAAAAAAAAAAGAGTTCAAAAACTTACCACCAGGGGGAAATGGCGCTGTGTACAATATTGTTAAATGAAATAAGACACAAAAACATCTGTTTAAAATGCGTTTAATATTTTCCGAAACGTGTTACAAAGCAGGTTCAATGTAGCGTCCAGCATTTTCCGAAAGTAAGTTAAATCCTGTTACTGCATTCTTGACAGCAGCTCTTAGCATATCAGGAGGAATGTTACGGACATGTCAGTGTATCACATTTTTCATTTCTGCCAAATTGTTTAGATTATCACCATAAACAGTGCTTTTGAAATAACTCCATAGCCAAGAGTCACAGAGGTTGAGGTCTGGTGGGAAGAGGGGAAGTGTTGGCCTATAAGACTTTCATTCGTGAAATGTTGCCTAAGTAACTGTGCAACACACGTGAGGTGGGGCCCAGCCCTGCATAAAAATCATAGTATCTAAAATGCCACGTTACTGCAGTTCATGTATCACGAAACATTTTAACATTGACTCTAAGTGAGCTGCAATCACAGTGGTCCAGCTGTCGACTGCTCTTCAGAGAAAAATGGTTCAGTTATAATACTAGCTGTCATTCAACACTAAACGGTGTGGAATGACTGCTATGCAATCGAATGCAGTAGGAGAATGCAATAAAACTAGATAGATAACATGAGAGATTTCTTTGGCCCAAATCGATTAAAAGCGTTTTGAATCAGTATCTTCATGTTTTAGTGCCGAATTCAGACTTAAAAAATTACTAATTAGCGATCTGTAAGAAAACGATTTCCAGATTGTACGCACTTGTGCGAGTGATTTGCGATCTCACATTTTCTAATCGCTAATTCGTGGTTTTCACGGACGAATTTCTCACTTACACGGATGGCGCACTCGACTTTTATCGAATTTAACGCCTTTAAATGGTAATTTGCCTACTTCAAAGTTTCTTAAGGGTTATACAACATATTAAACCTGTGTAACAAAAGGTTAAGTTAGATTCCGACCCATATTTCGTTTAACAATATTGCATACAGCGCCCATTTCCCCCTCCGTGGTGGTGAGGTTTTGAACTTTCTTTTTTCGCGGAAAATAAATTCCCATGACCTTCCTTTACACGGTTACAAAGTTTGATAACATTGGATCCAGTAGTTTTCCTTTTATGACCGTTTCAAAGTGAAACTGTAATTATAACCACCCTGTATATTATTAAATTTTAATTTGAAGCTTATGCGTTTATATGTATACCATGTGTAAGAGTTTCGCTTTTATGGAAAAAATAAATCGAAGCAAATATACTTAGGATAATGGACCAAAACTGAAAAAATTCCCCTCCCTCCGAAAATAAAATATTGAAACTTCGACGAATTTATTGAATTATCGAAATATTCAATTTGATTTATCTTCTAAGTCCTAGTTCCGACAACAATTCCGTCAAAAATTCCGAATTACTGAAGCTGAAGTAAACGGTTTAGTATATATTCACTGTATGTTAATAAAGTACTAAGAGTGTAACAAAAAATAGATTATAGAATTTACGCTGATGCAACTATTTGTTTGAATGCACAACACATGTAATGGAAGAGAAGGCTTGTAGAGATCTGTTTTTGACATGCTTCTAAAAGTAGATGTCATACTCCTTTTGTCTCTTCAATGTCAAAAAAACTTTCCTTTGAGAGGGCTTAAGTTTTGGTGAGGAAAAAATCATAAGAAGACAAATTTGAAGAACATGCAGGACAATTAAGTACACATACTTATTTTCAGAGCACAAGCAGTTCTCCGATTGGCTATTGAATAATGAAAAGATGCATTGTCATGCAATACAAAACATTTGGAATACATTTTCTGACTGAAAACGTAAGATTAAAAGTCATCTGCTTAATTCACAGCCATTTACAAGTCAACTACTCGGGCAATTGCAGAATCGTTTTGATCCTAAGCTTGTAAGACAAACGTAATATCACTGGATTTAAACACTTCTTTAATCTTCCGAGAACGTTCCTTCTTTAGTTCATATTCCAAGAATATTAAGTGAATGCATAATTATTGCAAAAGAAATTGAATATTCATTTGCACTACGGCTTGGTCTTAGTTACTACTAACGAGTTAACAAAACTTAAATTCTGCTTTTTGTGTCTAAGAATACAACAATATTTTAAATATTTACAAATAAAATATTAAATGGAGATTTAATTGGAGCCTCACCAGTTGCCTAGCATTTGAAGATTGTTAAATACTAATTGTTTTGTTGCGAAGTCTAACCCAGGCTGCATGGTTGGTTTTCGTAGTTTTCTAGGTTCTCTTTACAAAGGTTCTCTATGAAAGCATCTTAATCAAATATCTCCCATGTTCTTTCTATGTTCAAATAACCAACTAACCTAGTTTAAGCGCGATTTCCAAGGGAAGTTACTAGCAAAACCCGAATACTCATTAAAAATCATGTAGCTTGCCAATCGGGAGTAACATGAAAGATACGGCGCCAATAATTGAATTGCTGTTACGGTGCGCTGTTTCTAAACTTAGATGGTCATTCCTTAATTAAATAGCCCACCAGCGCCCAAGCGATAAAGACGCTGATCACTGGTAGTTCGGGAACGGGCTGGCCGCATTGGCGTTTTCGGGGTTTTCCCCATGTATAACGTGTATACGAGCCAGTTTACCTTAGAAAGTCCTCCACAAAGGCATCCCTCCCTTTAGGCAGATAGCCCTCGTGTGCTTTGCCATAATTAAATAATCCAATCCAATCCTTAATTAAATATAATTGATTTGTAACTTCTACTGGAACTGACAGTAAGAATTGAAGTGCAAATAAATAATATCGTGTGCAATCTTGATTAATATAAAATTTAAAATATTTGCATAGAAAAATATTTGCAATTCAGACAAAGTTTTTTGAAATATTTGCAATTGCTTTATAATAAGGATTTATTAATAACCGTAATAATTACTTATTATATTACTAATGATTAGGATTCAGTTCTTGACAATTACATTCTAAATTAGAATTTTAAGGATATAATGAAAATACGCTACGCACAAAAATACATTTTAGGATAAAAATGAGTTGGTTTTTTATGTTTTAAAATTTCTTAAATACATTTAATAAATATCGTATCCTCGTTGTTAATTGAATCCTGAATGTTGGGTGGCGTTTATAGAATTATTCTTACTTGTCCACAGAATCTGCTGACTTATCCAGCCATTAAGTAGCTGCAGATCATTTCTACATAACCATTGAACTTCCATTAATTCAGTCTCTAGAGGGCTGTATGTTTATATCATAATTTGACTTTTATAAAAATGATTATTCTAAATATTATGTTTCTATAAAAAATATACTGTGCTTTAAAAATGTGGATGATAGTATCAGTCGCTCTTTCAGCCACTTCAAAAGCAACAGTTTGTTTATAAATAAATTATGCAGTTAATGTCATAAAATTCAAATAAATATCAAACGGAAATTCTCAGTTTTAGACAATTCGATTTAAACGAAGTAAAGTAGCAGACGATAAAACGCCGAAGGTAAAAATTTACTCTTATTTTTTTTTAAAAAAAGGAAGATAGAGAGAAATTTTAAAAAAAATAGTTAAAAATTTGAATAATATCATCTATAATTTTAAAAAATAGCTTTTCATATAGTAGTAATAAATATTTATTACGCTTCATTGAGGGAAAAAATGTCATATAATTAATTCTCCGTAAAATCTTACTTGAAATTTAAGGTTAAAAATAGCTGTGGCAATTCACTGTAACAAAAATCCATAGACCACATTTCGCGTTATTATCGTTAAAAAAAAAAGTTGCTAAATTTCAAAACTCTAAAATATGTAAATTCGTGTATATCTTAGAAAATTTTAAATATAAAAGTCTAATTTTTTGCAGATATGCTTAAAAATACACCTACTTTAAGATGATGGTAAAAATTTTATAGGTTATAATTCAAAATTGTTTTCGAAAAATTTATAAAAATTATTTAAAAATAGAAATTTAAAAAATAAAACACAAAAAATGGATAAATTTTATTTGGAATGAACCTAAATTTCGAAATGTGAGAGAAAAAATCAAAAAAGTTTAATAAAAAAAGAGATAATAAATATTTGCCAAATTCAATTAACATTAAGGAGCTAAAATTTTGAGAGCTAATATTTTAAAAACTGCTCGTACAATTTTTACAAAACTTGGTATTCTGGCATAATTTGAGACGTAGAATCGAAATATGGAAAAAATTGGTATGTTATTTCAGAAAAAGTCCGATTTTGTGTCAAAATACCTATGTTAGAATAGTGCTATATATAAATCTAATATATATCGTAAGTCGCGCTTTCGAGACATGAAAAACGCAAGTTGAATTTTGTCAATCGGCCCAGTAGAACGGGAGATATAGCACTGTCCCTCTTTTTTTTTTTTTTTTTTTCTTGAGCAGTGTACATTCTGTTTCCCTTTTCCTACTGATTTTCAACATAATTTTTCTTATTAAATTTTATTTGACCTAAATTATTTTAATCTAATTTATAGAACTTTTATGAAGATTCAACCAATGTTTAGTCAGTTAATATTTATATTTAATTTTTTCCACGTATAAATGATGCATTATACTATGTTTATCTGTGCAATGTGATGTATATTAATTATTAATTCATTTTTTCATATTTAAAAAGTGCTTTGATAATAAAAGCTCAGGATTTTCTCAATATAAGAGTGAAAGGAAATTATAAAACTAGACAAAAGACATAAAATTTAAGATATCTATTAATATATTTTATATTAAAATCATGTTATCCTGAATTATGAATTATAAAATAAATTTAAGTCAAGTTTCGAGTTTCTTTGAATGGTGTTATGCTCAGTGCAAAAATCTCAGAGAAACTCAGAGCTCGCTATTTCAAGGTTTGTAACTATGGTATTGTTTTAATATATCAAATAAAATATATATTGCTTAAGGTGCTTTTCAGTATGGCTACAAAGAAAATACTGAGCAAAACAGTATATGATCTCATGATTTTAAAATTATATGGACTGAATCTTTTCCACTTATCATTAATTCAAATGTTTGTCCAAACTATTGTTGCATGTGCATGGGTTCGTAATAGACTGAATGCATACTGATCCAGTAATAGGTTGATAACATTTAAACTTCTAAGCTCTTACTAAGAACCTTGAACACAATGCAAGCAAAGCACATCTAAAAGGCAAAGCTTTAGTACTTCGAAGTCACTCTGAACAACTCACTACAGCAACAACTGAGGGCAGATGCTCTCTAGCCTTATATAGTTTTCACTTGGTCGCCAAGATATTTCTAGTACTTTTTTCTGCTCGAAATTACTGGAAGGCATAAGAGGGCCAGATACAGTTACAGCTAATATAGTCACCAATTACATTTTATTCAATTACAGTGCCTATTATGAAGGTACAAGGAGCCGAACCAAAATGCCGTTAAATAGTCGCTATGTCTGGCGACTTTTTGTGATTTCTCGCCAAATTTGGCGGCAAAAATTAATTGCCAAAACCGTTGCCAGCCTTGTTATATTTCATCAAATTAGTGAGATAAACCATTTATTGAATGTTAAATAGACTTGGCCCTGTATTCCAACTTTTCTGCAAGCTTCACTTAGACTTTTACCAGCAAAACATGCCACATTATCCAGAAAATACTCTTTTTGTGATCAAAAATTTTGGCAGCAATTTTCAGTACTTAATATATTTAATTGTTAATTTTTAAGAGAAATTATTTTTTCAAATTGTTTAAATTGTGCTTATTTTTTAATAGTTTCCTGAACTTTTTTCTCTTGGTGTCTTCAGCCGAACACCCCCAGTGAAAGAAAAGGTACATTTTATATAACTTTTAAAATGCTAAGTGGAATGCCTTTTTTTTTTTTTTTTTTTTTTTTTTTTTTTGAAATTTTTTACTACTACTTTTTTTTTAAGATTTAATACTTTAATATGATGTTTCAGTGCTTGTACTTTGCAATTAAAATCTTTAGTTTAAATAAAATAGGCCTCTGGTGGTTCTTTTGAATTCATATTCAAGGCTAAAGGATGGTCTGAGAAACTTTTAGATCCATCTGATAAACACGCAAGTCCTCCAAATAAAACAGTAAAAGCAGTTTTAAAAGGCCCAGGTAAATTTTTATTTCATGTCATTCATAGAAAGATAAGAATTGAAGCTCTTTCTTCTGCAACGAACTATGTTGTTCTTGTAATATATTCATTTTACATCTAAAAGTTATTTAAAAATAAATGAAATTAATTATGCTGCTAAGGAATACAGTCAAAAGTTGTTAATCCGGACTCGTCGGGACTTCAGCGATTCCGGATTATCGATTTTTCCGGATTATAGATCATCAGTTTAAATCTCGTAAGATGGCATGCAGAAATTCTAAAATTAAAAGTACAAAACCGTAATTTATGAAATAAAGAACAATTATGATCTAAAGGGTATCAAAATTTACAAAAAAAAAAAAAAAAAAAAAAAGCTTAATATTTATTTGTTCACTTTATAAACATTTCTTTCAATGTAAGTTGCTTAAGTTGCTTCGTTTTATGTGATAATACTTTCTCTTTAATTCTATAAACAGACATAATTTCTTGTTCAGTTACAAAGTTCCGCTGTTCAAGTCCCGTAATTGCTGTGCCGAGAATACCGACTAACTTGTCAATCGAAATTTTTTCGTTTTCACTAACCTCTCTGTCACCTTCTTCATGTCTTTATCCATTTTTTGCAGCAAATCCACTTTTTGTTTGACGGACATCGAAACATACGTTGTTTTGTAGATCCTTTGGGAGCTCCAGCATCGGAAATTCTATTTGACATAATCGAAAGTTCAAGTTTACTTTTATAAAATTGCTCATACAGTCTGCAAAAAATAATAAGCCGCATCCAATTCAAAGATTAAGGAACAACGCAATCATCAACATTAACTGAAATAGATAATTAGATAATTTTAGCTTGTACCGTCCGTTATACATTAAACTCGCACGCGAAAACGTATTCTGCGCTTGCGTACACGCATATGTGAAGTCGTAAAGGTCTTACGTGCACGCGTAAACGCCTATGCACATGTGTCAATGCGGCGCATGCGCAGAAAGTTTTTAGCTTTGAGGTCCGGATTATGGGTGTCCGAATTAACGACTATAATCCGGAAAAATGACTGTACTTTAATTTCAAATAAACTTTAGCAATCAAAATTTGTTGCATTGAGCAGACATCTGTAACTTGATCTTTTGAATCCTGTATGGTGTTCAGTGGGAAATATACAAGCAGTGTTTTATCCTACATTATTAAATTAATATAGATAGTGATTAAATATTAAGTTTCTTCTCACCTCTACATTTTATTTACACATTAAATTATATTTTTATTCATATTTCCAAATCTTGGGCATAATGCATTTGAAATTTCATATTATGAGCAAACATAAATTGTCCTTATACTTTTGTAAAAATAAACTAAATATATTTGCAGGGTTAGAAGGTGGGTTAGATACTATTGAAGCTAAAAGCATTTGGGTGGGGAATGAGAGCTTAGGGTTCACATAAAGACTGTTAACTGCTGGTAATTCATCAGGAGTTCGAATAGAGGTGAATAGGCTGGCTGCATGGTTGGATTTTGAGGTTTTCTTCATGTGTAATGTGAATAGAGATAGCCCCTGTATGTGTTGCCATATTAAAATAGCTTTACCTAGCATGGAGTTCACATGTCTCATAGCAGGTTTGAAATTACAAAACTTAATTTCAAACTGAAGATAAAAATATTTTAATTGATTATAAGTTCAAAATGTTATTTTTTTAAATTTCAGTTTTACATTTTTTTTTATTTCAGTTTAATGTTATTTTAGATATTTCTTTGATTAAATGTTAAAATAGCTTTGATAGACATTTTTATAAAATGCTCTTTATCTACTGATCTTGCAGTTATATGCCATTCAAACAAAGTATTTATTGTCCTTTATCAGTGCAGAAATGATTTAGTATTAGCTATATTTCTAACTAATATTATGATTCACTTAATATTATCCCTTATTATAGCTTGTGTTTAGTATTTTCTTTCACTACAAATTAAACAAAGCATTTTCAAATTCTGTAAATAGCAGATATTACATCATGTAGCATATTGGTCATTTTTATATAAAATTAAGTTTATATATATATTACACATATCTAGATGATCTGCAAACGTTCCTTCTTGGAAATATATATATCTTATAATTAGCTACATTTGCTATTTCTGTATATCCTTTTTCTTGAGCTAAGCACCTTGCTACAGGTCAAGGCTGCCTCTCCAAGTTTTCTTCATCTGACACTATCTGGCACCACAGCTTTCCCATCGAGTTGCCCTATCAGTTTCAAATTCACACTAGCCAGCTTTTGTCTTCCTTTTCATTGATTCCCCTCTATTTTTGAGAAGGTTATCTTTTAGTAGGAAATGCATCGTATATCTATAAATATGGCCTAGCCGTCTAATACGAGATGCCTTTACAATTTCAACAAGATCAGGTTCATTATATTTTCTATAGATTTCATGATTATGTAATATTCTTCATAGTTCATTTTGCCTCACCGGTTTGAAAATCTTTCTTAGAATTTCAAGTATCAGTGGTAGATCTTCCTCTGTGTAAGTGTCCAGCATTCGTTTCCATAAGAGGCCATGGGTCTTATCAAAGTCTTATGTAAACTTATTTTGTTTTTTATGCTGATTAATTTAGATTTAAGTTCGTAAGCCTGTAAAAACATATGTTGGCCATAGATATCCTGCCTTTAATTTCAGTTTCAATATCACCGCAGCTAAAAATCAGTGCACCCAGTTATTTAAATTGTTAAACTATCTCAAAAGTATAATTGTTGATCTTTAAAGGATGTAGGTCCATGATTTTATTTGTTACTATCATAAATTTTGTGTTATCTTCATTGATGGTTAGACTCATCTTCCCTGGTTACATATTCAAGGAGATAAATGCCTCGACAACAACCTGCTTAGATCATCCATAAATGTCATCAATAAAAGCTAGCAGTTGAATTGCTCTTTGTAGAATAGTTAGACTTATGTTTAGTTGAGAGTCTCGAACAGCCTTTTACAGTGCCAAGTTAAACAACAGACAAGAAAGTGAGTTTTCCTGTTGCAGACCTTTCTGAGTATAAAAGGGCTCTGAGAAAAAGATGAAATTTTAATTCTACATTTCACACTCATCCTTGTAAGGCTGATCAGTTTCTTTGGAATGTTAAATTCCAACATAGCTTAAGTAATCTTTCTCTATTTAAACTGTCATATGCAGCTTTAAAAATCAAATAGATGATACGTGTCAATGTTAGATCCAAAATTTGTCTGATAGCGTATTTGATCAGTCGTTGCTTTTCCTTTCTGGAAACCACACTGGTAGTTCCCAATAAATTTAGAAGTATATCTCTGCATTCTTTTATAAAGGATGGTGAAAAAGATTTTTTATGCTGTATCCAATATTTAAATGTATATTTGTAAACCACATGTCTTAAATATTGTCCTTTTAATGATATATATTTTGGCACTGCTGATGTTGAAAACTTAAAAGTCCATAATTTTTCATATAATTATATCAAATGCGATTAAATGTACCCGTTTTCACAAATATGCTCAAAAAATGTAACTTGATTTCAGTATTATTTATTTACAACTTTTCTCCATTCATTTTTAAATTCTTAAATAGGTAAATAAAATTCTGAAAATTTTAGACCGTTGGGAATAAAATTGAAAGATTGAATGTGTCATTTTAATACTTTTTTTTTAATAAAATATTTTAACTTTGGAAATTCTGTTTTAGATCCTGGCTATATAACAACAGCTATCTGTATTGTTAGTGCAGCTGTAGTTGTACTACTTGAGCATGATCATCTTCCAAAAAAGTGAGTTTTCTTTTGCTATTATTATAAACTTAATGAATTTTAACGCTATACATATTTTTATAATCATGAATTTGTACCATAAATTATGGACCACTATATTATTAGATAATTTTTTTTGGGGGGGGGGAGCACCTACAATTCACTTGCGATTCACTGAAAGGTGCTTACATATTAGTGCAATCACCTTGGAGCAATTTGGTTATTTTTCTTTTTAACAGAAATAAAGAATGATGAGTAATAATTTAAAAAAAATTATTGATTTTACATGTACATGTTATATATTATGCAAATTTTAATTTATCCAGATAACCAATCAATGAAAATTGATCAATCTACATAAAAGCATTTTTTCCCCATGTTGTTGATATTTTGTGGCAGTGGCTTTAAGTATAGATTCAAAGTAACTGTTCTTTTTGGTGATTTTCAATTACCTATTTTTAAAATAATTTACTTGGTACTAAAGACAATGAAACTCCAAATATTTTATATCTTTTTTTTTTTTTTTTTTTTTTTTTTTTTTTTTTTTTTGCTACACTTGTCCATTTACATTCATGCCACAACTTTACAGTTGCACTTTGCACTTTGCATACATTTGGTACACTTATTCGTGCAACACTTATTTGGTATACTTATTTGTGTGTGAAATGAATACTTTTCAGAAAGTTTTGGAAATTCAGAGTTGACTACTTTGTGTGGATAGACAACAATGATTACAGAAGACTTTTATGTTCCAATGATGATACTCAATGGCTCGCCAGATCCACTTACCTAAGTTCACCAGACTTCTTCCCTCTTGGGAACTTTGAAGGATAAGTTGCAGACAACTAGAGTGGGAAGTATGGAAGAGTGGAAGGAGCAAATTAGGAATAAAATGGGGTGCATAACCCCTGATATTCTTGAGCATGTCATGCAAAGTGTCTATAAGTGTCTTATGTCATGCATTCTAAAAGGAGGTGGTCATTTGGCAGATATAGCGTCTCATAAATAGCTATAGCAAATGCACACAAGTGTAATATTAAAGTCTTCATATCATGTATGTAAATGGACAAGTGTGGCAAATAGATGGTATAAAATGTTTGCAGTGTATTATTTCCAGTTCTAACTATATTACTTTCAAAATTATTACTCAAAAATTCTCCATCCTGTATATAATGAACAATATGGAACCATAACATCTGTCAAAATTCTGATCTGCAACCAAAGTAGGGCATCAGTATGAAACAAAAAAAAAAAAAAAAAAAAAAAAGATTAAGAAAGTTGAAAGTGATAACATACATTATAAAAATATTTTTTTCCCCTCTTAAACCATATCCTAATCTTCAGTCTTCTTTAACCAAATATCTGTTCTTATTCTAATAACTTTGGGTGGGTCCTATATTTGTTATTTTTTAAATGGGTCTTGTCAAATGATGAAATGAAAGTTGCTTTATTTCCCACAGACTCAAGATATATTGTTAACAATCAAGAGTTATCTAATTCCAGAGCAATTAATTGTTATATCCTAAAAAATGTAGACAGATGGTAAGAATGAGAATAAATTAATTTGAAGGAAGTTGTATCACATTTCCAATAATTTTATGATTTATTTACTCTTGAGCAACACATTTTGCAAAGAACTGGATATGGCAGATGAAACTAAATTAGAATAATTGTTTTTGAGAAGTATGCAGTACCAAAATAGAGGGAAAACTACAGTGTCCAATATCCAGGTTGCCAATCAAATTCCTAGTGGCTCTTTAAGTGTAATTATTCCTTTTATCAATTTAACTTCCGTAATGAGAATGATGAAGTGAGAATGATATTAAGGTGATGTGAGCACACACAATGTTATATATGTTAAATGACCCTATTTTAAAAATATTTGTAAATGTGATATTTCTGAATTAAAGAATTAGATTATAAATAAATCCTTGAATGTTTTAAATCTTAATTTGAGGAAGATGGAGAAATGAAATTGAGTGATAAAAGAAATTCAAAACCTTGCACTTCTTTTTGGGAAAAAGGCCAGACTTTCATAAAGACATTAAATATTTAAATTTGCTTTTCCCCTATTGCTGTTTCTGTTGCTTCAAAGTTTTGTTGCTAATACAAGACAACTGTTAAAGTTCAATATATTTAAACATTGCTTCAATTTTTTAGGGGTGGTGTCTTTACTCCTGGTGCTGCTTTTAGTGATACAAGTCTTATGGAAAAATTGGAAGCAAGAGGAATCAGCATGAATATTGCAGAGTTATAAATTTAAATATACTAATTTTGTGTTGCAAATTAAATGCCAATTTTCATTTTATATTATAAATGAAGTACATACATTTCAGAAATACTATAATAAAAGATTTATTTTTCTTTTTGCCATCAAGATTATTTATTTCAAAATAAGTAAAAATGTCTCAATTTATGTACTATTTTGCTACTTTTTAATCTTGCTCTTTTAAACATTTTAAAATTTTCATTCAGCTGTATTCCTGTGCAAATGTATAATGTTAAGTACTTGGACATGCAAACCCATACATCATGTATGTGCACACTGATATTAATTCTAAATAGTGTATGTCCCATATATAAGTTAGAATTAATATCAGGCTTGTATAATGAATGGATTTACATCAAAATATACATTTTAACTATAAAATTTTACTATCAAGTTATTTTTAATAAATTGTCAGTATAGGGAATATTTCTTAATGGACATCAACAGGACCTCACCAATTTGGTATAAAATTTTTTGGGATTATTGAATATATATTTTTATAACTTACTATTCATGTTTTGTGATGCCATCTGCTGTATTTTTCAATCTATTGATCATATTAAATAAGTATAAAAAATCGTACAGATTATTTAAAATTAAAACATATACATGTAAAATATAAAAAATACAATGGCTTTGCTCTACATGAACTGGCAACCTCTAAGTAACTTTCTGCAATTTCAGAATCTTCACCCTAGATAAGTGCTTTCAAGAACGTTCTGGCATGTTATGTAATCGATACTATTAATGAAGAGTTTGCACCATTTTTCGTCAGATTGCTTTTCTCCTCCTGCTGCTTAAGAACTTTACTGCCATTCTTCCTGTCTGTCTTTCGTTGAATAGTATGACGCAGTGAATTTAAAGTTAATCCTAAGTCTAAATTACTATCGCATATGTAATCTTGAAGAATCTAAAAGGGTGCTACTTTGGTAGACGGTTGCACGGATTTGGGGCAATTTACATTGGCGCGTTTTTTACCATCATCAGCCATCTTGAAATATGCTGTTTTTACGTATTTTACGCATATAGTAAAGTATTCGAAACTTTAAAAAAATAAATATCGTTAAAAATAGTGGATTAATTTTTTATTGAAAACGTTGTTTTTTAAGATGGCTGGCAAATTTAAATAAATACATTTACTAAGAGTATAAAATACTAAAGTAGGGTTAAATTATTACTTTCATAGAATAGAATAAAAACACCACTATAAAAACATTGCGCCAACGTTTAATTGGATTAAAATATTACTTAAATTGAATATCGAATTAAAAACATCATACCAATGTTAAAAGAATTAAAATATTACTTAAATTCAAATACTTTAAAATAAGTTTTATAGAATTTAATTATTTAACATTAAAACATAATGTGACAATAAATATCTCAGGAATTTTTGAAAACATTGTATTAATTTTTTAATAAATATTGAAATATACAATTCTAAATTAACAGAAAATTATGTACTTACATTTTTGTAAAGTATTTTGCCTGTCATATATTGATAAGTACCACACAAAAAAAAAAAATCTTCTAATGATCATCTGTGATCCACATCTCTCGCACTTCATTGAAAAAGCATCGAAAAATTTAAAATAAATTTCCTCTGATGCTTGTAACAATTTATAAATAAATCTTTGATTAAGAAAGCCAGGTTGGCCAAAATAAGGTCTCAAAGGGCAATTTTTTATTCCAATACCAATAATTCTTGGTAATTACCAAAAACAACATTCATCTTCGAAACGGACATATCCATTCCATTTGACATCTGAGGAATTCGAAGAGATGAATAATAAAATTTTAAAATGGTGCGGTAATGCACAAATATTCAGTAACCAATCAGGGAGCTGATTACATCACGCATAGAATTAAAATTATTTAAATAATCATTCATAATAAAATCATTTAAAAAAAAGACAAAATTGTATTTTAATATTTAACAACCATAAATAATGTTTAAAACATTAGATTAAATTTATAGATATTAATAAAACCAATTGCTTTTTAAGTAAGGTGAAGTCATTGATTAAATCATCCACAACATAAAATTATATAAAATATCATAAACAAAAATTTTTATTTCATATAAAAATGCAAAATTAAATTGACTTTTAATATTTAGAAGCCATAAATAATATTTAAAATACGGAATTTATGCATAATAAAACGTATTATTTTTTAAATAAAAAGTTAGCAAAGTATCGGTTACCATAAATAACTTGTCCAGCAATGGGTTTACCATAAGTCGTATCGCTCGCCAAAAAAAAAAAAAATCTCCAAAATCTGTGCAAACATCTACCAAAGTAGCACCTTGCATTTTTATTTGAAATAAAAGTTTTGTTGTTCATATTTTATATAATTTTATATTGTGGATGATGTAATCAATGACTTCACCTTACTTAAAAAGTAATTGGTTGTATTAATATCTATAAATTTAATCTAATGTTTTAAACATTATTTATGGTTGTTAAATATTAAAATAAAGTTTTGCCTTTTTTTTAAAATGATTTTATTATGAATGATTATTTAAATACTTTTAATTCTATGCGTGGTGTAATCAGCTCCTTGATTGGTTACTGAATATCTGTGCATTACCGCATCATTTAAAAATTTTATTATTCATCTCTTCGAATTCCTCCGATTTCAAATGAAATGGATATGTCTGTTTTGAAGATGAATGTTGTTTTTGGTAATTACCAAGAATTATTGGTGTCGGAATAAAAAAAAATTGCCCTTTGAGATCTTATTTTGGCCAACCTGGCTTTTCTGATCAAAGATTTATTTATAAATTGTTGTATTGTATGCTACTTGTAAGTCTTTATAACACATGTTTTTGTAGTGGAATTCCAATATATCTGATTTTTCCATCTGTGGTTTTAAACGTTTGCACACGACTGTAATGAAGCTTTGTAACATCACATGCTGACATAGGTGAACCACTTGGCTCAGCAAATCTTTATGAAGGTCTGCAATCCTGTATCTGCTTTCTTCCACATAGCTCTTATTTTATATAGCTTCATTTGACCCCTCCTTGTTATCGCTTTCTCTTTTCCTAGTACATGTCCAAGTATTTTGCCATCATCTTGTGCGAATGTGATAGAACAGAATCCTCATTACATTTGTCCAAGCCTGCACATCCTCTTCACTAATACCAATCTTTTCTGAACAGCCACAGTTTATACCAACAATGGTGGTTTTTCATCTTTTAGTGCATTTTTTTATCATCTCTTTATGCAAGAGCCAAAGTAAGTATGGCATCTTTCAGCGTGAAATTTTTCTGAAATCATGGATACCACTTTCAACTTATTTGGTATTACAAAACATAACCATGTAAATTCTCGAAATATATATTCAATTATTAAAAATATATATATATTAAAAATAAGGTCCTGTTGATGGCAGTTAAGAAAGTGTCTACTATACATCAGTACATAAGGGATTGGTAGTTCATCTTTACATTTTAGATAATTCATTAGATGAATAAGGCTCATTATATTGGGTAGCAAAAACCTCACATAGATTGTTAATATTACCCTTCGGACATCTCATGAAAGTATTACAAAAATATTAAACTGTATTGAAGCAGCCTCTTTGCGACTCTGCTTTTTTCAAGAAAATTTTGAAGATCCTGATCTCATTCTTCATACCAAAGTACAGTTTTCACAAAAGGCTAAGCTCTTGATTTGTGAATTTAACTGAAAAATAAATAAATAAAATACCATAAAGAAAATCTGAAATGTTTCAGATTTTAAATTACGTCAAAAAGGACATTTTTTAAAATTTTGTGTGTTACATTTATTTATTAAATATCCGTTCTTCCCACTTAATCCATAAAATTCAGTTCAACAGCAATATCCCAAAATAGTTTTTAAATGAGCATATCTTTAGAATTTCAGATACAGAGACTCGAGTATTGGAGATAAAAATGTTTTTTCTGTACAACGTTGCCATTGATGGCTTTGAAATCCTTGAGTTTGTTTTCAAAAATTCGTTAAAGTTTTAAAAAATAGGAAATCTATAATAAAACAAACTTCAAATTTAGTCTGCCACATGCCCATATTCGTAGAAGGATTACGTCGTTCAATATTCGAGGGCTCTATGTACCGTTGTTTTATCACAATGCGAGAAATATACGTACATTTATGCAGATTTTTGATTATTTAATTTATTTAAATATAACACAGGGTGATAATACTTTGTGGCAGCAGTTTGAAAAGTGATTCGCCTTTTGTAGTGAACACGGAGTATAATGGTACTCCGCAGTAGTGAATCAATGCAAAATCGCAAAACGAAAACAGTAGTCCTTCAGGGACAAAGCTCCTATGAACTAAGTATTTCAATACAATTTTGGGGTGGGGACTGAACTAATGGACTTTCATAGGCTAGTGGGTTTAGATTTTCTCAGATATATGAAAAAAATTGAATTATTTAAACGTAGAGCTGCAATGACGTTAGAACTTTAACGATAGGCTGTTAAGTCGCTTAAACCTAAACTGGTTTTGTTGGTATGACATCTGCCGACAACATTAAAAAATACATTAAAAAAAGTAACAAAAGTCATTTGTGCATTTTCCAAACAGGAAAAAAAATGATAGGCGAAACTGAAATTGATTTGTCCTTATTTGTTATCAACTTTTCAATTGCTTTAAGACTAGTTTGAGAAAAGATTTCAACATTTTAATATTATCGAGCTAATAATCACTTTTTTCATCTATCCTTTTATTTATTAAGTAAATATAACAAAATACATGCATAAAAAAACTAGATTTAGAAATTCTGGATTTTTAAAATGACACTATCCTGAAATCAAGTGTACCAGGTGAGAATTTCTAGAATACAGATGACAGAAACAAATTTCCATTCTTTAACCAGTTAACTGTGATTGACGAGTATACTTGTCATGGAGAAGAGGCACGATTTTGTGTATTGACGAGTATACTCGTCATACGTATAAAGCAGTGTAAGCAGCGCGCGTATAAAGCAACGTAACAGTAACAGAGAAAAGAAAAATAATAACAAAGAAACCGGAGCTAGTTATTGATTATAATAAAAAAAGGATGGAGTGAATATGAGCGATGGAATTATCATAGCGTACTCCGCAACTA